GCGGCCGCCGGGCACGGGGGCCGCAGCCGCGGGGGGGCTTCGAGCGACCGGGCATCGACGTGGTGGCCATCCGTCGGTGGAGCAGACGAGCGGGACTGCCAGCAGACCAGCATCGGGGGACGAAATCTATACATATCCACTGCTCCCTGGCCAGGCCCATCCTGAACCCAGGAGCTGTGTATACGCCCTCCTGGCCAAACCAGGAGGGCGTATACACAGCTGCTGTGTTCAGGATGGGCCTGGCCAGGGAGCAGTGGATATGTATAGATTGCGTCGCCCTACAGCAGGCGGGCAAGATCACAGGCGGGCTGCCACCAGATCTGCAGGAGAGGCTCCTGTGTCACCAGGACGAGCTGGACAGCACCAGTGGAGTGAACGTCCTCATCGACTTGCTGGAGAAGTGCCGAGGCGACCAGGACGGGGACGAAGACAGAGAGAGCTGCATACTCGCTCTGGAAAAAAGCAGACATGAAGCCGACCGGGACCTACACCGAGTACGTACTTCGGCGTGACGTGCAAGTGCGCAATGCGCGAAAACACGGACCCGACCTCTCGAAACAAGTACAGGCACAACAGCTTCGCAACGGGGCCAGCCTGCCGCCGACCTGCCGTCGATCACTCAGGGCAAGGAGGATTTGGAGTCGATCAGGTGCGGGTTGATGAAGATGAGCGCGAAGAAGAACAGCAAACATAAAGCTCGTGTCTACGTCGTCTGCGACAGCGAGGACGACGAAGGCGACACCTCGAGCACGGAATCGATCTACTACTACGAGTTGGAGACCGATCTGATGATGGAAGACAGAGAGAGCTGCATACTCGCTCTGGAAAAAAGCAGACATGAAGCCGACCGGGACCTACACCGAGTACGTACTTCGGCGTGACGTGCAAGTGCGCAATGCGCGAAAACACGGACCCGACCTCTCGAAACAAGTACAGGCACAACAGCTTCGCAACGGGGCCAGCCTGCCGCCGACCTGCCGTCGATCACTCAGGGCAAGGAGGATTTGGAGTCGATCAGGTGCGGGTTGATGAAGATGAGCGCGAAGAAGAACAGCAAACATAAAGCTCGTGTCTACGTCGTCTGCGACAGCGAGGACGACGAAGGCGACACCTCGAGCACGGAATCGATCTACTACTACGAGTTGGAGACCGATCTGATGATGGACGAAGAGGAAGTGACATCGTTCTTCCAGGCGATCCCCCACCAGGAATTGGACGAGGACCGGGCGGTCGCGGTGCTAGCCGCGGTGCTGGACGAGACGAGGGGGAAGGAAGGGCGCCCGCGCAAGTGGCCGGAGTCGGAGAAGTTCAAGAAGGCCATCGCCAGGGACCGAGACTTCTTCGACTCGAAGAGGGCCAGGGGCCGCCCGACGCCACTTCCGCGGGCGGGAAGGCAGCGTCTCAGCATCGCCCGCCTGAAGGAGCGAACCCGGCGCGCCACTGCGTTCAGAAGGGCCATTGGCGAAAGGGGTGCACTATCCCGTGCAAGCCAAAGCCGACAAGGCCGAACAGTCCCGCCAGCTCCAAGCCCGCCGGGGCGCTAGGATCCATGCCGCTGGAGATGAGGGTGCCACTTACCTAATCGGCGACGACCGCATCTTCGAGATCAGCCGCGAGGGTCCCATGCCTCGGCTCTTGGCCTGTCTGAGGCGTTGTGTGGGTCCTGGGACCCCCAGGGGGGGAGTCGTATTTGACGCGGGACCACCCCCGGGACCCGGGACCCCCCCCCCCGGCAGGGGAGGGATCAAAGAGAAGGGGCTTCCCTTCGACTCAATGACAACGTTGCTCTTGAGGGGGAGGCCCTTCAAAAGCGGGGGGCAGCGGGGACGGGGCCAGGAGGGACGGGGGAAGGGGAGGAGGGAAGAAAGACGCGCCAGGGAAAGGGGGAGCGCATGGACAGGAGACGACTGGGCCAGGGAAAGGGTGGGCGCAGGGACAGGAGACGACGGAGACGACGACGAGCGAACGGCGGGAACGGACAAGTCCTCACACACGCCGACGCACTGTCGGCGGATTGCGTCGAACTGCTGAATGGCTAGGTCTGCCTGGGCCGCTGGGGGAGGGGGGCGTGGCGAGGCCCGTCAGGCAAGTTGTTCCCCTGAAGTCCCGATCATTTTGCCAGAGCCGTCTTTTCACCTTGGGCCGTCTTTTGACGGCCCCGCGGCCCTGCGAGGGCCCCCAGAGACCGAAAACGACGAACAACCTTCGTCTTCATTGCTCACGACGCCATCGTGTCTGGGCCCCCTGTGGTCCTGGCTGCTCAGACGCGCCCAGGGCTCTGGCGCCGCGATGGGCAGGGCGCCGACCGGCGTGCTCTCGCTCGCCCTGCTGTGGTGGGGCCGCGCGCTGCCCTGCGAGGGCAAGGCGCGGGGGCATGGCGGCGCCGGCGAGCTCGAACTCGACCTGGTGGCGGACACGGTGATGATGCAGGCCTCGGAGGAGCAGGAGGGGACGCGCTCGCGTCGTGATACAAGATTCGCGAAGGGAGGCTTTCGGTCGCTTTCGGCCTCCAGGGGCCCTCGCCCGGCCCCGGGGGCCCTTTGAGAAAGGACTCAGGGTCGAGATTTTCGGGAACCGCGACTTCAGCGGACATGGTGATGCTGCAGGTCTCGGAGCACGAGGAGGAGGATGAGGAGGGAGGGCCACGAGGGGGTGATGGCGTCTTCATTTTTTCGTGGGGGATGTGTTTGTGTGTTTTTGAACTTGAAGGTTTCCTTGCCTCGGGATGCTTTCCAGCAGCTGCACCCCGTCGACAGCTTTCTGGGGTATCCCAGATCGTCCCGAACGGCCCCTGGGGGCCCGAGCTATGACCCGAAAATCACCAGGCGTCGAATATGGGGGTGAGAGTTAGAGGGGGGGACCATGGCCCCCCTGACGGAGTCCGAGCAGGTGGGGTCGGAGGATCGCGCTGCATCGCCGGTGCATCGACCATGCGGCCCGGCGTGGAGTCAAATTTTCTCCACGCGGACGGCGCCGATGCATCGCCGACGTCGCTCATGCATCGCCGATGCATTGGCGATGCGGCGCTATTTTTCGACGCCTGCTTTCGACGAGGTCTCTGGTGAATGCGGCGGGGGCCTTGATATGATTTGATTGTCCCCCCTTTTTCTTTCAGCATTCCCCCTGGCCCCCACTCGTCCGCGCGCGTGCCTCGCGCCATGATGCGCCCCCTTTCTCGTGCCCCCCTTTTCGCGCGCACGCGCAGGGGCGACATTTAGTAGGCTCAAGGGAGGTGGACGATTCATAAAAGTACCTCTCCCAGGGAGGTTGTACAGGGCAGATGAAAACAATCCGGGGGGTCGAAAGTGTTTGTTCAATCGCCCTCCCCTTCCCGACAGACTGTCCGCCAAGGGCCGTCGTCCTCGTCGTCTTCGGCGTCGCCGTCGCCGTCCGTCGTCGCCCCAGGACTGCAGGGCGCCCGCGCAGCACCCCCCCTCGATGTCATCCGCCACGGGTCGTCGCCGTCGTCGTCGTCGTCGTCGCCGCCGTTCCCTGGGACTGCAAGACGCTTGCGCAGCATCCCTTCCCCCCCCCCCTCTCCCCTTTCCCGTTTCCTCCCCCGCACCTCCCCGCCAAGGTGCCATCCGCAAAGGGCCGTTGTCGTCGTCGTCGTCGTCGTCCTTGTCGTCGTCGTCGTCGTCGTCGTCGTCGTCGTCGTCGTCGTCGTCGTTGTCCTCGTCGTCGTCGTCGTCGTCGTCCCTCGAAAGTGCAAGCCGCCTACGCAGCCCCCCCTCCCGACAGACTGTCCGCCAAGGGCCGTCGTCCTCGTCTTCTTCGTCGTCGTCGTCGCCGTCGCCGTCGTCGCCAGCCGTCGTCGTCGTCGTCGTCGTCGTCATCGTCGTCGTCGTCGTCGTCGTCTTTGCCGTCGCCGTCGCCGTCGCCGTCGCCGTCGTCCCCCGGGATTGCAAGACGCCTACGCAGCACGCGCCTCGTACATGCCATCCGCAAAGAGCTGTCGTCGTCGTCGTCGTCGTCGTCGTTGTGTCGTCCTTCGGGGCGGCAGGACGCCCACGCAGCACCTCGCCATCGTCAGTCTGCTTTCGTCGTTGTCGCCCCAGGACCGCAGACGCCCACCCAGCTCCCCCCACTTTTCCATCCACAGTCCGCCGTCGTCCTCGTTGTCGTCGTCGCCCGTCGGTCGTCGCCTCCCCATGGCTGCAAGACGCCCGCGCCAGGGGGCAGGGTGTACCTTCGACCAAGCCCAATAGCCATCCACGCCGCTCCGAATTGGCAGCCCTCGGAACAGGTGGCCCAGGGGCCAATCCAAATTGTCCACCGTCCGTGGGCTGAGTCTTTGGCCCGTTATACCGGGGGCCACGGGCCACGTCCCCCGTCGAGTTTGTCCTTATTCGTTTGCCTCCATCACGGGGGTGTGCATCGTCCCCGAACGGCACGCTCATTGCCGATAGGGGGCCTGAAAGCCCACCCCGCCAATGCGTCTCCGACATATCGGCGATGTACCGCAGAATCCAGCTCGATGTCCCCCCCCCCCTCCCTCCTCCCGCCCGCTGAGCGAGTTCGCCATTTTACGTCGCCCATCGATGCGGCTGGACACATGAGGCAGGAGTAACAGGAACGAGGATTTTTTCCCTCACTCTTGCGAGGTCGTCCAGGGCGCGGAGGCGTCTTCGTCCACGTCGCTGGACTCCGTGCTCAGGTGGAAGGCGCCGCAGAGGTCGTCTTTGGAGGATGTGGCCCCGCGACAAAGGGCGTGCCGGCGTTTCGGGGGACGCCGGGCTCCCCAAACGTGTGGCGTTTCGTGCAGATCGTGTCGGTGGCAATTTTGTGTGTCTTCGGCCACCGGAGGCCGGGTCGGGGCCCCGGACCGTCAAGTGCGGTTCGGGCATGACAACATTGGACGCAGGGAAATGGTCGGAAGGTTGGAAGCCCGCGCCCCGAAATAACCGGGGCGCCGCATATTTGGATTCAGTCCTGTCAATATCCTACTTTCCCTCCTCGTTGTCGTCGTCGTCGTCGTCCTCCTCCTCTTCTTCCTCCTCCTCCTCTAGCAAACGGTTCAACGCAACTCTTCCCTCCTTCATTTTTGCTTCTTCCTTCCCCCGTTTCCATTTTCCGTTTCTCATGTCCTCGTGTGTTTTTTTCCCGCTCCCCCGCCCGTCCTCCTTTTCTCTTTTCCCCTTCCTTTCCCCTCTTCTGTGTTGCCTTTTCCCTCCCTCCTCCCTGATCCCCCTGTTACCTCTCTTCCTTCCTTTTTCCTGCCCCTTCCTTCTTCCATCCCATCGCCTCCGTCCTCCATCCTCCTTGGCCTCCTCTTCTTCCTCCCCCCCCTCCTCTTCCTCTTATCCGTAAGGGCTTCGCCTCCTGCCGCCAGCCTCCTCGCTATCATAAGGGGATATAACAGAGTCGCGTCGGTGCGTCTCGGCGCTACCTTGGCGCATTTGGGAACAGCGTGGGGGCGGATAGAAATCGAAGACGCCGGCGGCGAATCACCGCCGCCCCCTGCCCTTGTGGGAGCGCCTATGTGGCCGACATGTGGGCTTGAGCTTGGCCAAGCTACCGGGCCAGTTGTTCCCCGGGTCGGTTTGGAAAGCCTTCGGGGAACGCGTGGGGGAGCAATCGGAGGAGGACCAGGAGAGGGAGGGGCATGATGATAAGGAGGAGAAAGGGGATGAGGGTGAGGATGAGGATGATGGGGAAGGAGGAGGGGTGGGAGGAGGAGACTTCTTGGGGGCCGTCTTGCGAGGCCTCTGGGGAGGCCTCTGCGGAGCTTCCTGGGAGCCTTTTGGAGGCCTCTCGGGAGCCTCCCTGGGCCTCTTGGGGGCTTCTTGGGGGCCTTTGGGGGCTTCTTGGGGGCCTTTTTGGCAGTCTTAGGGCGTTCCCGACCCGTCTGACACCGTCGGAAGCCGTCTTGGGGGCCTCTCTGAACCAACTTGGGGCTCTCTTGGGGCGCGTTTCAGGGCCGCCTTGGAGAGTATCTTGGACGTCTTGGAGGTCGCCGTCTTGGGGGCCTCGTGGGCCGTCATGCGGCCATCTTGGTGGCCTCTTGGGCGATCTTGGGGCGACCTTGGGGGCCTCTTGGGCCGTCTTGGGCCGTCGGAAGGCCGACGAGGCGCAAATGCCAAAGTCTTTCGACAACCAAGGCAAATCAGTGATTTTGGCCTCTTCGGGCCTTCGGCCATCTTGAGGCCATCTTAGGCCGTCTTGGGTGCATCTTGGGCCGTCTTGGAGGCATGTTGGGGCCATCTTAGACGTCTTGCAGGCCATCTTCGCCGTCTTGGAGGCCATATTGGGGCCCTTTTGGGGCCGTCTTAGGGCCTCTTGGGCAATCATGAGGCCATCTTGGAGGCCTCGTGGGCGATCCTGGGGCGATCTTGGGGGCCTCTTGGGCCGTCTTGATCCGTCCGAATGCAGAAAAAGAGCACATGCCAAAATCCTTCAAAAGATTTTGGTCTCATCGGGTCCTCCTGGAGGACCTCTTGGAGGCCTCTTGGGCCGTCTTGGAGGCCTATTGGGGGCCTCTTGGGCCGTCTTGGACCATCTTGAGGCCATCTTAGGCCGTTGTTGGTGCACCTTGGGCATCTTGGAGGCACCTTGGGGCCATCTGAGCCGTCTTGGAGGCCATCTCGGGCCGTCTCGGAGGCCTCTTGGGGCCTTCCTGGGGCCGCCTTGGGAGCCTCTTGGGCCGTCATGGGGCCATTTTGGAGGCATCGTGGGTGATCTTAGAGCGATCTTGGGGGCCTCTTGGGCTGTCTTGAGCCGTCGAAATGCCGAGAAGAAACACATGCCACAATCCTTCAAACACCTCAGGAACATCAATTAATGATGCCTCTTCGGGTCCTCCTGGAGGACCTCTTGGGGGCCTCTTGGTCCGTCTTGGGCCGTCTTGGAGGCTTCTTGGGCGTACTTCAAGGTATCTTGGGCTTTCGTGGGCCGTCTTGGAAGCCATCTTCGACCATCTTAGGCGAAGTTGAGGGTCATGTCGGGCCATCTGAGCCGTCTTGGAGGCTATTTTGGGCCATCATGGAGCGGGAGAACCAAAACCAAGACCGAAAGGGTTCAGCACGCCAGGCACCCCTGTAATGAATCAGCAGGGGGCAGCGGATCATCAGCCCATATTGAAACATGGCGTTATCGAAGACGCCTACGGCGAATCACCGCCGCCCCCTGCCCCTTTGGAAGCACCTATGTGGCCGACAGCTGGGCTAGAGCTTGGCCAAGCTATCGGACCAGTTCCCCGAGTCGGTTTGGAAAGCCTTCGGGGAACGCGTGGGGGAGCAATAGGAGGAGGATCGGGGCAGGGATGAGGATGATGATTAGGATGAGGATGAGGATGAGGATGATGGGGAAGGAGGAGGAGTAGGAGGAGGAGACTTCTTGGGGGCCGTCTTGCGAGGCCTCTTGGGAGGCTTTTGCGGAGCTTCCTGGGAGATTGTTGGAGGCCTCTCGGGAGCCTCCCTGGGCCTCTTGGGGGCTTCTTGGGGGCCTTTGGGGGCTTCTTGGGGGCCTTTTTGGCAGTCTTAGGGCGTTCCCGACCCGTCTGACACCGTCGGAAGCCGTCTTGGGGGCCTCTCTGAACCAACTTGGGGCTCTCTTGGGGCGCGTTTCAGGGCCGCCTTGGAGAGTATCTTGGACGTCTTGGAGGTCGCCGTCTTGGGGGCCTCTTGGGCCGTCATGCGGCCATCTTGGTGGCCTCTCGGGCGATCTTGGGGCGACCTTGGGGGCCTCTTGGGCCGTCTTGGGCCGTCGGAAGGCCGTCAAGTCAAGTCAAGTACGCCTTGCACCAGACGGTGCGTGAGCAGGGGTGAAACGTATGGGAAATAATCACCAAATGCAGCCAGAATGCCTTCAGCTTCCGGCCCAAGCCTTCACCGCGCGCTCCCACGCTCTAACTCGAGCTTCACCACCGTCTTGGTGGATGTAGGCAGCGAGTCGCTCGCGGGAGCCGGCAACCTTGAGACAATTATTCCAATCTAGATGGCCCCATGTCTGCCTCGGTCTGCCCCGCTTTCTCGGGCCAGCGACCCTACGCAGCACCAGGGTGCCCGGTTCAAACACTGAGCGTCGCACAGGGTCTTGGCCGGGTCGGCGCGCTAATTGGCCAATGAATATCATCTGCCGTCTCGCGAGGTCGTCGCTGAGCTTCGTCTGGCCAGCGATCCCTAGCACGGTGGCGTTCGACACTCTACTGATGTATGCCGGAGGCACACTGCAAATCTTTCTGATACAGCGATTTTGGAAGCCGTCCAAACGTCGACGTTCGGCCTGGTTTAGACACGCCGTGAAGAGGGCGTACATTGATTTGGATACACCGCACACATTGAAGATGTGGAGCTTCTGATTCCTCGTCAACGATGAGACCAAATCGTGTGCAGTATTCTGAAGTCTTGCATAGCTGCTCCGATTCTGCGGGACAATTCCGACGCGCATCTTCCGTCGGCAGAGATCGACGTGCCCAAGTAGACGATGGAATGCTTATTGGCGAGAGGAGCGCCAGCGTTGTCCGAGATGCCGTCGTTTGTGCGCACCTTCATCAGCTCCACCTTCTTCCAGTTAAATTGCAAGCCGTAGTTTGCCCCGAACTTCTTCACATATGTCATCAGCTCCTGCACAGCCTCTGCGCTGGCGCCGAGCAGCAGCGTGTCATCCGCGTAGACAAGATCTCGGACCAGCTCTTCCGGAACAGGTTGGCCTCGTCTTTGGCGAAGCTCTTTGTGAGCATCGTGTAGAAGCGTAGTCATAACAACTGTAAATAGGAACGGTGACAATGGGCATCCTTGGCAAATTCCGTACTCTTGCTTTCTCTATTGTGACGTTGCGCCGAAGTCGGTGACCTCGAAAACGCGGTTCTCGTAGATAGCAGCAACCATGTTTACAAAACGATTAGGGCATCCAAATCTTCGAAGCGACATGGCCAGCGCCTGAGGCGACACAGAATCGAAGGCCTTTGCCCAATCCATCAGCGCCAAGAACAATGTCTTCCCATCGCGAGCGGCCCATGTCTCTTCCAGCACCCGCCAGGCGATGAGTATGGCGTCTGCAGTACCGCAATTCGATCGGAACCCGAACTGTGTCACCCAAATACGCTGTTCGGCACCGGCGTCCTTCATCCTCTGCAGCAGGACGAGCGCGAACATCTTGTACCCTATCGGGAGAAGGCATATTGGGCGATAGTTGTTGCTGTCTGCGGGGTCCCCCTTCTTGTAGATCATTTTCACCTTTGCCTTGTGCCATGCATCAGGGACGCGCCCCGTCTCCCAAATCACGTTGCAGAACCAAGTGATCCACTCGAGCGTCGTGGTGCCTTCTCCGGAGGCCGCTCTCCAGAACTCCCGGGGTAAGTTGTCCAAGCCTACTACTCTGCCTTGCTTTAATTTGCCCGCTACTTTCCTGACTTCTTCCTGCGTGATCGGGTCGAGGACGATCGGCAGCTCGCCGTCATGCAGATTATCAGTTGGCATCGCCGTCGTCGGCCGCACTGCCCACCGCACCCGCTCGAGATGCGCCGCCAAAGTGTCAGCCCGGCTGTCGCTATCCACGACCTGGCCCGCCTCATTCTTGAGGAGTCCCCCCTGTAGCGGGCAAAACCCTTTCCGGAGCTTTCAGATCTCGCCCCAGTCTCCGTTCGCCGTTAGCTCCTGCAGCCAGGCGGCCCGGTCGGCAGCAACAGCCTTTTTGATATGCTTCGCTAGCTTTTTCTCTTCAGCTATGTCTCCTGTCTGTCGAGCCGCCG